CCAATGGCTTAACACTCTTGAAGATATGGTGCACAACCGGAATCAGTGGTAGAATTGTGTACAGAATTGTATTGATTCACATGTTTAATACTTCAAACATTGAGAATGACAAAAAAGAGAAAAATCGGCTTGTGAAAAACAAACTGAAAATGTTTTGTCCTATTTTTTGTTAAAATGTCCCTTTCTTCCTGCGGCAAGATAGCGGAAGTGTGTTGGTCACCTTCAACTACTCTCTTACGATGATTATGACGCGGTGACTCTGCTGCTTATCCTCTAATCTCTCTGGTTTTTGTTAACTATATGTCTAGTTGCTAGATTATTGAGATTACTTATATGCATACATCTGATGACGTGTTAGATGAAGCAGAACCTCATGGCTGACTTTGTCGAACGCTTTACTGAAATCGATGGATATCCCTTCAACATACTTCCCCTTGCTTATTGTCTTCAACCACTCATGTCTCGCCACAAACAAGTTTGTAATGCATGAACGGCCTTGCATAAAACCGGGCTGTGCGGGCATCTGGACTTTTTTTGGCTGTGCGGGGATTTGTTTCCCCCTCACCAGTACGTCTTTTCAACTCAATGATGGCAGACTTGAGCCGCTCCCTGTCTACTGGGTCCAGGTCTGGACGAACATATATCTTCAAACCTTTCAGCCTACTTAGGCGGGACATGATCAGTCTTGAACTGGCTTCGTCCACAAAAGTGATTCTCATAGGCCGATTTTGTTGATCACCTTGCTTTCCAAGATGGTAATTTGCCTCACTTTTACCGAGTTCTCACCAGCGTCGAGGAGTCTGTCAATTGGACTCTGTAAAAACTCGACATCATGATCGTAGCGCACTTGGGGTGATGGTCACGAGGTTATAACTCCTATGATAGGATGAGGTTGACCTTGCAGGGCGAAGTATCTTACGAGCCTCACGTGTTCTGGCTAACTGTTGACTTACGGAAGTTAAACGCCCCATATATTTTCGTAATTCCGTTCTTTGTTCTTTCCACTGGTCTTCAGCACTCACTTTCACCTGCTTGGACACAACAAAGGTAAACAATTTATGCCAGGTGAAGCTGGGCTCCTCACAACAGTTGGACTTCGTGCCGGTGATTTTTCACATGTAGAGGAGGAAGACTAGAAAATACAAAATAAATATAATGTGCAGCTGTACGCCGTAACGGCGCTTCGCTGCCGCGCAACCACCACCAGTCCCGCGTGGGCTGAGTATACCGCGAGGATGTCCACCCCTACGCGGATTCGAACCGGTGACCTTATGGTTGCTAAGCAAACGTGCAGACCACTCGGCCACCGGCCGACGCGGAAGACTGAGCTGAAACCTGAAGCCTCTTCGGGCTAGGTTTTCGGGCCAAACCCACGGAGCTGTTCGCAACAGAATGATGAAGTCTACATGTCGGCTTTACTCTTTTTGGTTGTATCTTGTTTCGGCAATTTTCACATCAAGTTTAAACGAAATCGTGTTGGATTTCATAAAGACGATGAAAATGCTCAACTGATAATCCAACACATGAAATGTGGTATTTTACTTGACACAAAACACGTGAGGGTACTTGCACTGTGTCCGACTATCTTGAAACAAGTACCGCAAGGTGACTTCTTCGGCATTGTGAATAATCCGAATACAAGATGGCGGCCAATTGTCGGAGAAAATGTCGATTACAAGCTCGCTGAAACCATCGATGAAACCACACGTATTTCTGGTCATAAATTTCGACATCAGATATGCAACTGAATTGTATCTGTTTCCATGAAATGCTTCCAATGAATGAAGAAATCCAACACAAAGTGATCTTGTCAACGCAAACCAAAATAACCGACCACAGACCGCTATCCGCATACCAACGGCATCAACATACATCAAGCCGGATATAATCATCATCAAGAACTCCACAGCACGCGTAATGGACGTGGCAATATGCGACACCTACAAAATGACCCGTAGATACCAACTAAAAATTAACAACTACGGTGTAGATGCTCATGTGGAAGCCATATCCCCCTTTGTTCGCTCGGAATTTCCTACGGCATTACATGTCATGCATCATCCGATACTCATCAACAACCGGGGTCATACATTCCCAGCCTCCACCAAGCACATTTCGGAACTTGGGCTCACCAAATTTGACATACCTGACGTGTGTGTCTAACATGCAAGGATCCCTTCAAGTTTACCACACCTATATGCGGGGTACGGCACAAAACCTATCACATTAACAGCGTACACTCACACGTTCAGGAGCGATTCCGATCATTTTTGTTTTTTTATATGAATACGGTTACAATATTACGCCAGGACATTTGTCGAATCTCGGCGAATTTATTTAATGCCCAGGTCATGGGCGACTCATGAATTTGCCGTAAATATATGCTCATGGAGCGCGACTTTCTTCGCACTGAACTCTAGTCAGCTCGCTTAGTAAACTTCTATTATTCGCTGTTGACGAATGTCTTAACCATCTTCATATCACTGGAATATTTTCAGAGGATCTCGTAATCACTGAACGGATTACGATACACTGACTTGTGGGTGTCTTGTTGACATATCCATTGTGTATAGCTCAAGGCATGTGAGATCTCACGAACCAGCTCCTCGTCCAATATACGCATTTTTTAGTATGCTTACTGAGTCTACGGTTACTGGGATACTTGCATGTGCACGACACACCTCATTAAGACGTTGCAAACTTCGGACCTGACCCAACAACGATCATTCTCCCATTTCCGTCGTCGCGCTGTTTACTACAGCACGGTTTGTGCGGTTACATTACTTTGAGTTGATAATCCGATGCCGACAATACGAGATGACAATGGGAACAACCAAACTAGGGAAATCAATAAGCGTTGACAAGTTGCATCACTTGCAAGAGTTGTGCTCGGACGCAGTTGCGCCACGACTATCCCTCTGTGTGTGATTGAAATTTAACCTATTGAAGTGATTGATCACGAGGAGTCTAAACGCGGAAAACGGCATGAACCAACCAAACTCGGTATTTTGCTCGATTCCACACACCCCAGTTCACTATGCCTTCGTTCACTTTGCCATGCGCGATAGCGATAGATACTTCTTGCTAGGGTGGCTAATAGGCAGGCATACGACAAATAAGCCGTAGCTCTGCATCATTCAGCTGACACACTTGGTGCACAAAATTAATTGTTGATTTCGTTTTTACTGGCTTTCATAGGACCCGATATCATAACCATTACTACCACTACATTTGTGCTTTTCCTTCACGTGCTCTTTTTCCCGATTACCGACTTCTGTTTTCTACTTCGGATTTGCTTATGAATGTTGGTAAACTTCCGGACAGAACTTATTATGGACTCCAAAGCTTATACTTGCTTGTCAAGCTTGCATTGGCAATGAATCCGAAGATGCTCCCACTTACTGGATACATTCGGGTCTTGTTCTTCCCAACACTGGCACACCACGACCGTGGTTTCGTCTTGGTTTAAACTCGTCAGGTCGAGATAGCCTGAGCTGAGGTGGAACTCAGAGCTTAGTTGCTCATGGCTGACGCCCTGAACACTAGGCTACTGAGATCCGCAACCAACACTTGGCACAGCGGAAAGTAATGCTGGCACTTAATTGTAACTGCCGCAGTAACTTTTTATTTATAACCTCTTCTTTGCACTGTCTCCGTTGATGTTTTAACCTTTGCATTTCTTTTTTAACTTTATGCCACTGACGTCAGTCCCTCAGTGGCAAGCGGTTTATTCCGCTTACATAAATCACCGAAAACTGCACGTTTCACCCCCATCATCACATATTGCTTTTCACTTCCATTACTAACGACCTTTTCGCGCCTATGAGGCTGCTTGTTTGACTTAGTTAAAGAAACAACAGGATACTTATCGCGGTGCACTCAAGCGTCAGCCAGTCAGCGGAGCCGTGTTAACAGGCAGCTATACCAGCTGCATTCAGTGAGGCACAACTGACTGTCTGGTTCGCATTTTGGATCCGCTTGTTAACTCCGATTGGTTACTGTCATCAACTTACCTTGGGAGCTGTGTCACTTCTCGTGGCCACATCACTGAGAAAGTTACTTCGCATATCAGCTCAGTAATCTATAAAGACGAAGGGATATCAGCCTATCAGTGAAAGGGTGTACGACGCTGGGATAAGGCTGTTTTTACTGTATGGGCCAGAGACCTGACAATTTCGCAGTGAAGACGTTTAAGTCTTGGCTACATTTAATCACCATGGCTTACGAGGTATTGCTTACATCTAGCACAAACACTGGGTGAGAAATGATGATATCCGATAGTTGTTTGTTGGCAAGCGACCATCTGGTGCCTCAGATGTTTGTTAAGACTCAGCCGCCTATTCGTTGGCTAGGCCATATCCTCCGTTTGTGCATTGACCGGCTTCCTCGGCGTGCGTTATACGTCGTGGTTGCACCAAATTGTGCAAAACTGCGAGGTGACTGTCCCATGACTTGGCACAGAGGCATGAAGAAATTGACTGATGGACTTGGTCAGGCTGGCGCGTGCTGGATAGGGGCCTCCGGATGGTCCACGCCAATAGTTAGAGACCGTGTCAGATATGGCGTAGTCACGCAGTCAGTGGCGTTCCTTCATTCGGTTTCTTGTATCTGCTTGCTAATTCTCATTCCATTCTGGTTAGTCTGACGCATTTCCTTCTTGCTTTCATTTTCTCTTTACACCAAACCCCACTGCCCTACCGATGTTATTTATTGTCGTTCTTGCGATGTTAATCGTGCTAACTGAATCCACCGCAGCTTACTGCTCGGATCATAGTTGTTCGACTGAACTGGGCTACAACTGACTGTCTGGTTCGCCTCTCGGATCACATGTTAACTCCGATTGAATACTCTTATCAAAACTTTCCCATCGTTCAAGCGATCCGGTTAATCTTCGTGAGAGTTACTCATGTTGAACTAGATTACATATGTCGCACCTCATCCCGTTATGTCCCTTCTATCCCAGCCAAAGCATTTCACACTGTCTTTTCGTATGTCCACAGATCACTAACGATGGCAATTGGATGCACATCAAATATCAGAACAAGTTGCAAGCACGAAATGCTGTCGGGCGAAATGGTCGCATATTTGGCGACAACATTATGGTTGGAGTTATGCCCTGCACAAATCAGGTGAGCTGGATTGGTGCGGATGTGTATACGATTCGCGTATGACGACTGTGCCACCTTCCTTGCACCTGCGTTTACCGCCGCTGCTACTGCAAAACAACACGGGGCGAAGTGATGTGTCTGTTTCTTCCGGTTGGGTCGATAATCACTCTAATCCCATTCTTTTTTATCATTCCTACCAATTGTTTGGCTTCGTATCACGCGTGCCACAGCCTGAACACTTTCCACTTTGACTTCTGAATTGCTCACTCTACCATCACCATTATCATATTTTAATGTTTTTTTCATTAACTTCATTCACTGGCATTGTTAACACTCCATCGAGCACTGATTAAACCTCAATTTAAATAAACCGGCGCATCGATACTTATCACAGTTTTTTCCGCGTTCTTATAGGTGCGTCTAAACACCTGATTGATGTCTGTTTTCGTTGCGACCTGCCTCCTTTCTTTGAGTAAGTACCGCTGTAGTCATAGGTAGACTTATGCGCGCCGGCACTTCTTCCTTTGATGAGTTCTATCTTGCTCCAGCATCCACTTGTCTATGTTTTCAGATGCAGTCTCAGCGTTGACCGCTGGTGACTGACGGCTCACTGTGGACGGCCAAATTGGTGAATCTTCTCTTCGTCCAGCTCTGGCAACCTTCGCATCCGATTAAATACAGGAGACTATCAGGGCCCGGACAGCCTCGAGAGTTCATATAACCCAATCGAACTTCAGCAACCAACGACTCTTCACATAAATTGCTAGTGGCTGACCCCTCAACATTCGGCACTATCTCCATTCTTAGTTCATTCTCCACTTTTGGTTACCGAGAAATTGTCCTGCTTGTACACCAACGCACGAGGCCTTATATTAATTTAATGAAACACCGTCATCGTCGGAATTCGGGGCTTCGATATGTCATAATTGTTCCGCTTGAGGGACGCCTGGTAAGCTTGTCACTGGCACGGTTGGAACACGGCTTGAAACGCTGGCCAATCGAACGGATTTGCGCTGACACGATGACGTTAGCTTAGCCCGGGACGGAAAATTGTGCGAGCGTGAGAACCTCCCTAGCCGCACGTATTCGGGTAGACGCTGAGCCATCGTCACGGACGAGGCTACGCACACGAGAGGGGAGAGTTACGGTAAACGCGCGCTAATGGCTTAGACGCGAATGTCGCCCGGCTATGGCCGCACACAAAATCACGTGCCCCGACCGAGTCCCAACTACGGCGAAGAGGAAGCAAGATAAGTGGCCCTGTGCAGGCTCTTTTACGACTAACAACGGGCGAAGCACAGCCAAAACTGTATTGTTAAGTTGGTGAACATTGGTACCGCAACGGAGTGGTAGTTTGTAAAATGATATTGTCAAACTGTGCGCAGTTATGCCGTGTCTCGGCGCGGCTGAAATCTGCCACGTTGTGGAGAAGAATTGGACTCCGCTATCCACAGCCATTACGCCGGAGTTTGGGGCGCGTTTTTGCGGGCATATTTGATGGACCCGCAATAATTATGATCACCGAAACGTGGCAGAGCTGTGACAGTACCGACATTGATATCACTCTACACGGCATGTCACTTCTTCAGAACGAGTAGGAGAGGGTAGCGGTCATTTATTACACATCGCTTGGAACTCATCGGCGATCCCCAAGCGTGTCTCTGATCTCCTTTCGTACAAACTGTTTTTGGAGTACGACCGCCTGTGCCCGTAGTTTACCGCCCGCCCAAATCCACTCCGGAAATGGATCGCAAGCTGAAATCGGCTTTGTGTATTGTGCTAAATCAGAAATACAGCCACATCCTAATCACGGGAAATTTCAACATCCATGATTTTGCAACTCTAGCAAGAGTTAATCTCTAGTACATGCCTATACAACCACGTCACCTCTCCAACCAGGTTCGGAACAGCGAATAAACCATCAATGTTAGATCGAGTGCTCACCAGCGGGGAGCTCATGGTTGATGGGTTAAATGTACGCGATCCTCTGAGTCGAAGCAATCACATGACTTTATCGTTCAGTTATATTTACTACGCTGAATACCCCGATAAGGTGTCCGAAAGGATGCAATCTAGTACAAATTACCACGTTCTGTCCGCATTCTTTGAAAATGCCAGTTGGACATTCATGACAGAATGAACACCAGATATAGCCTAGGAAACATTCTTGGAGACCTTCACGTCCATGATCACGGCAGCATCAGATCCAAAAGCTTTCCATCGTTCCATCAAACCAAAATCATTTATGAGAAACCGGACACGAAACTTTATGACCTTGAGAGATCGGACATGGTGCCTCTACTAAAACAATCCCAGCTCCGAAAATTAGACAGCGTACGCAACTCAGCACAACTCATCTGTGCAGTTGGTTCGTGAGGACATGGTAACACAGCAACAGCAGCTAGCGAACTACAAGCTTCTTTACAAACACTTAAATAGACTTCATAAGGTGCAGCGTGGTGGGTACAAACACGGAGAGAGGGACGTGATCAACGTCTTACTGGCTTAATGCTCACCTACTTTCCAAGGGGTACAATGCTCGCACGCCATTCCTTCTTCTGTCACTCCATCATCACTTTTATTTAGCATCACATTCACAGCAGAAGCGGTGCTGAAAAAGCTACTATCCTTGCGTACACACAGCTCTCCTGGAGTGGAAAACATTCACCCTAAAGCACTACAAGTAGGAGTCATGCATCTAGCCGAACCACTAACTGTGTTCTTTCACCGTTTTCCAGATGAAGACATAGTTCCCTCAAACTGCAAGGGTGGTATTATAACTCATGTTCACAAGGGGAAAGTCACTCTAATTCTGTCAAATAACGCCCGGTAACTCATCTCCCTGTGTTCTTCAAAGTCCTGGTGACCATCATCCCATACTTACTGATGGGTTACCTGGAAAGCTACAGTATCACCGCACGGAGCAGCACGGGTTTCGTCAACATCGATCATGTACCACGAACCGTGTTGCTGGCACGCGGTAACTGGACTGGAGCAGTTGATGGGGTTGGGGTCGATGTTATCTACTTGGACTTTTCAGAGGTGTTCAATCGCTTGAATAATCGTATCCTGCTTCATAAACTACAGCACTATGGCATCGGAGCCGCAGTATATTGGGACAGATCGGTAACATTTTTGCGATGATCAATTACAGATTGGAATTCGAACATCTTTATCCGACTCGATTTGAGTGCAGTGTTGTGTACCGCAGGGTTTTCTTTAACGATCTAGCGAGGATTATAGTCCCAAAATGTTTACTGTTCGCGGACGACCACGAGATCTTCTAGCGCCTGCCCGCCTGTGGTCTTAAGGATCACAAGCCTGTCTTCTAATCCGTGGGCGCAGGTTCAACCCTGCATAGGAAACTAGACGACCCTCGGAGTATCCTTAGCCCACTTGCGACTGATGGTTGTTGTGCAACAACGAAACGTCGATACGGCGTACTGCTGCTGCCTCCAAGCGCGACCTTGACGAGGCCTGGAATTGATCGGTGACGAAAGCGCTGCCATTCAGTGTGGACAAATGCAGTGTTGTCCACATCCGTCATCGACATACCTATATATACAGACTTTGGGCGCACGGCCTGCAGACAAGCTCTCAAGAACACGACCTTCGTGTGCTAGTACAAGACGACATCGGTTGTTCCGGGCAGTCAGAGTCCGCTTCGAAAAAAGGTGGCCAGCATGTTGGTTTCTTGCGGAGGGCACCCGGGAGTTCGGATTCATCCATCTTTTATCTGGTGCCCAACGCCTATATGCGTCCGTACGCCGATTACACTATCTAGGATCTACAACATTAGTTAAAGCGTGATCTTGAAGCGCTCTAGACCCCGCAACGTCGAGCATCGAAAAGTGCCAATAGTTTGCCCCACCTTCCGTACCAAGAACGGCTGAACATACTCGGAATGTTCAGTGGACGCTACCGACGGCTACATGGGGACCTCAGATTAGTTTATCAAAAATTCATAGACTCGGTTCACGTATGTCACCACGTTTTGAAACTCGTTCTGGACGTCAATCTCAGAGGAAATAACCTGAAACTGAATTAACAATACGCTCGTCTCGATTCTCGACGGACTCATTTCTCCCTTCGGGTCTGTCAACCCTGGAACATCTTCCAACCTCAGTTGTCTGCCCCCCTAACTTAGACATTTCCGAAAAAATAACGTTCGAATATCGCATTGAGCTTCCTACACTCTGTTAAATGAATGTATGCTCTGGGATCTATTCATGCTAACTAGATTCTTTGGCATTATAACCCATAGTGACGCACGCAGATCGGTGTAGATGCGTTAGCAGCCAGCTTATTGTTTGCTATGACCACTAACCATAACAGCCAGTTATTCCGTTTTGCATGGCGCCGTCTCACTCCCACAAACCTATTGTTTCCATATAATTACCGTATCACCTCGCCGCTGTGCATTTTTGATTTGCTCCACTTGTGTAGTATACGGTTTTGCAATTCCTTCTGCTACTAGTCTACGGGACATTTTAAGCCCACGGTTTTTACCCATTCTAAGCCGTTGTTCCGTTTGACACCGTGCAAACATTCCTCGACAGCTATTCCACTTCACTCCCCCCGAATCCAGTCCACAAACTACTCTATTCTGTGCATTCTCGCAGGCTCTGGGCAACCCGACGATATCCGAAATAGCTGTCACAGTTACTGATGTGGCTGCTTCCAATAACGTTATTTATTAACCTGTTTGTGAAAGCAATCACAACTGCTTAAAGGTTGTTCAGCATGACGGAATATTTATAGTTCCAATTTTAAACTGTTATCTTTTACTTTTCGTGGTTTCTGTCCACTGCGTACTCCGTAATGTGCTGTTCGGTTTAATATGCTTGCCCATCTCACTGGTCTCCCGTGAACCAAGTAGTCACCAGGCGAACATGATAATAGGCGTTGCACATCACGTTTCTCCACCACCCAGTGTCTTGGTGTAACGACCTTGTCAAACTCCATCGTGTAACGAGCTACGGTCTAACCAACGGCCACTTGTACGCTTAGTACATGTGTTTTTCCAATTTCATGTCAGTGGCATGGATGTTGTAGGTCTATGAGCGTCCTATAACTCGATTGTAACTAATTCGCATTCCTCTCTTTCTCTCTGCCTCCGTTTTTACACCTGGTACGTGGTGTTTGGGTGGCACAGCGTAAGGCGCTCTGGGTCCTTTATTGAGCACATCTTCCTGTTACTGTTTTAATTCGCTTCGATAAGCGCATCCGGAAACGAATGCTGTCAACTACCTACACATAGACCCTATCCAACATATACTGCGTCGGCAAAGTACGTTTTTTCTCTCTTAAATTCGACGTCTGCCTGGTAGTTATGGAATTCCCCCCCCCGCCATTTAGGTCATTCATTTTACCTGACATTTATTGTCACCCTCAAGGTGACACGAGTCCTTGTTGTCAGGTCGGCTTGACTCATGCGATCTGGTCGTAGTTGGTTCTCCAAAACTGACGGAGGGCAAATGCACAAACTAGGCACTCTGTCATGAATTATCGACAGCATTGTAACAAATTTCAACTCGAACCCGTTTGGTTGCGATGATTGAAGCATAGCTTGTTGCTGCACACACAAAAATTCTGACCTGCCTGTACTCGAGCTGGAGTATAGCTCAATTCGAGAGCTTCGTAACAATAGTTATCCATCAGTTATACCAAAAGCTAGAACAAGTATGCGCTCAAATTTCTTTTTGGTCAGGCATGCCTATCTGTGGAGTGAAATTGTCAATAACACTTGGATCATGTAACAACGTGACACCATTTAGTAACCAGCTCGCAAGTTACCTTTACCTGAACACCATAATGAATATATTCACATGAGAAACAGCCAAGCGTGCCCTATAACGTCTAAACACCCATGTTTCCAAATCTTAGCTTTCGCCTCAGCTATCTAGAAAAATGTTATTACAAGAATCTCATGCCCTAATATTCTACATTTGCATATTGTTTATACAAGAACATGATTGCGTTTGTACATATCGATCATGGGAAATACGCGTATTATTATTACTATTACTTTTGTCTGCGTTGTTGGCGCCTACGTCATCAGCGGTTGGTGCCAGGCATTCATGGGGGGAACCATAATTGTGTTCTTCCAGTTTCTCAGTAGGCTCGGTACGTCACGGTGCATTATGGACTTATCACCACTTATTTCGAAGAATAAACGCCAACTTGAACTTCCGTGCGGAAGTATTTCCAATTCACCAACTTCATTCCTTTTTTACGTTGTTTTCCTCGAGGCTGCTGTTCCGATGTTATCTTCAGTGCCTTTTCACGAACGCCTCGCTCTCTGTCCCATTATCAGGATGTTATGTGCAACCGTGTCGTCGGCGCCCAAGCAGGTGAATTTGACGTCGATCGCGAGAACTCCTTCTTGGATGTGAACTCTCCTGCACGCCCGCGTTTGCGCACCGGAACCCCACTAGGTGATCATTCACTGTTGAAATCAAATGGCGCTTCACGCAATATCAGTTTGATGAACCAAAGCTTCGCTTCACCATCCCAGCATAATCGACAAACAGGAGGCGTCGGAGTCGCTAGGCATAGCTCGATGCGTGCGCTTGCTGGAGACAATCGGTCCGGTTATCTGAATAGAACCGCCAGCGTAAGTCCCTCAACTTCGAACTCATCATGCTAGATTCTTGTTGTTTATCTTGTCTGCATAGTGATACGCTGTCTGGGAGTTCTTCTGACAGACCGTGACACGTGCACCTAAGTCTACTTCCCTAACGGAATTGTAGCTTCCTCTGGATTCGCATAAAGCAATGTGCAGGCCAGTTGTTCTCCAGCCCTCCTGAACCACGTTGACTTGGGTACCGTTACCTTATCGGTACGCAGTTGTAGACGTTCTCACTCTGACGATTGAGCCCTTTAACTCATTCCTCGCATGTGCACATTCTGGTCAAGCCACGTTACACAATACCGATACCGATATAATCCAGAGATAATTCATCACAGTCAGCAGGCGTTAGCATGTTTCGAAAAGCACCGACAGCGCTGTTTCGACCTTCTGCGTTTCGTCAGTGGTGCGTCTTCCTCGGACCCCTGCCGGGTTCCGACCCCATGATTTCCAGATGCCAGTGGCTAGTGCCACTTAGCCATGGGTGACGGCCGCAGGCCTGCATGATTAACAGTTGACCATGATATAACCCGGCTCCTCTTCCACTGCCATGCCAGTTACAGACTGTGCAAAGGACAGCAGTTAACCCCACCAGCTAGCACTTTCTGCATAGTGACTACGATACAACACCCAGAGCTTCACAGACAGATTTTTATCTTACTCATGAGTAGTGGGGAATTTGGTGTAATTGCAGAGGTTATTCATCGCGCTCCACTCTCAGTCAGTAGGCGTTAGCACTTCTGGAAACGCACCAGATAGCGCTGTTTCGACCTGCGTTTCGTCCGGGGTGCCTCTTCCTCAGACCCCTGCCGGGTTCCGAAACCCTGACTTCCGAATGTCAGCACTTAGCCATGGATGACGGCCGCTAGCCTGCACGATACACTTCATGTACTCGAAAGGATGCATTCGCGCTATCACTACGGGTGTGCTAAGGGCGGCATCAATCACTGCTACAGAAATGGAGGGTTTAATGAAGTACTCGCTTTGTTGTCACTCGAGCAAGCGGTCGCATAACACACTGATGATTTTTCTTGGGTCTACATGGAGACCGTCGTGCTGCAATACCACAGGGTGGGTGGAAACAAGATTTCAGACTTCAAATGCGGAGAACGTGGTCAGCGTTTTCGATTATTGTGTGGGAACAAAAATTGTTGGAACAAAATTTAATGCAAGCACCAGAATATTTGCCAACGGTAGTAGTAGTCAGTGGCTCTGAAACAGAGGTGAGCCTTGAAAATCTGTGTTACCTGTATCTACGTATCAATGCAACATCACATGGCGGCGGCAGGACTTGGGAGGAGGCTCGGTGGCAGGGAGAGGAAACAAGGCGGTGGGCGGCAGATTTCAGTGGCTCTGAAACAGAGGTGAGCCTTGAAAAGCTGTGTTACCTGTATCCACGTATCAATGCAATCTCACATGGCGGCGGCAGGACTTGGGAGGAGGCTCGGTGGCAGGGAGAGGAAACAAGGCGGTGGGCGGCAGATGTCAGTGGCTCTGAAACAGAGGTGAGCCTTGAAAAGCTGTGTTACCTGTATCCACGTATCAATGCAATATCACATGGCGGCGGCAGGACTTGGGAGGAGGCTCGGTGGCAGGGAGAGGAAACAAGGCGGTGGGCGGCAGATGTCAGTGTCTCTGAAATGGAGGTTAGCATAGGAAATCTATGTTACCTTTAAATGTGTGTCAATGCAACCTCACATGGCGGCGGTAGATATTTGGAGGGGGCTCTGTGGCGGTGAGAGGAAAAAATGCGGTCGGCTGCGGATATCAGTGGCTCTGAAACAGAGGTAAGCATAGTAAATCTGTGTTACATGTAACTGGGTATCAATGCGACAACGAATGGCGGCCGCAAGACCAGAGAGAAGGCAGTGGCCGGTGCGTAGCGCGGAGTCTCTGAAAGGGAAGTTATTACAGGAAACATATGTACCCCTGTGAGCATACCAATGTCATACAAATGCGTTAATAGTGATGAATATGCGCAGGCGAGGAAATGGATGTCCCCGTTAAGAACACCGCGGAGATGTCTGAAACTGTGAAGCTTGTCATCATCATCATCAACAGCAGTACATCAGTCATTTGAACTGACGCTACGCTGTCATACAACCATGAGGACCAATGAAATTTAGAATAATAAGAGGGAGAGAAGGTGGACTTACCTGAAAACCTTAATGCTGTAAGCGAACATTCAGGGTCAAGGCGCCTACACCTTGTGTAGACAACATTCCATCACAAACAGCTGGCTATCGTGCAAAGATAAGGCAGCATCGGCTAGAGCTTCCTTGCGGCTTTCACTGACCTGCTTCATAATCAGCCATTACCCCGCAGATAACTCAGCACCAAACACACTTTAAACAGACAATCCGATTAGGAGACGGCAGCAGATGCGCCACTGGTGTCGGTTGCGAGCCATGTCCTGTAAAGTCTCAAGCCAAGCACAAGGCGAGTCACGTGGACTCAAACCCGGAAGGCGAGACGGACCAATGGCACCCAGTTTAGTTGTCAGTGACTTCATTTCGCGCTGCCAAGTCAACTTCTGTTCACCTCGAGCCTTGCGCCATCCTACACCTGGTAGACTCAACAAGGCCCTCCTAGGTAAGCGGTGACCAGGCATGCGTATCACGTGCCCGAGCCAACGCAACTTATTCAGTGCTATCTGTTATTCTAGGGAGCTAGCATGTTTATCACTACCTAGTACTGGCCTACGCACATCATCTTTGCGGACACGCTGGTGCCATCCGACACCAGCAATGCTTCGGAGACAACGATGATCAAAGACTTGAAGGCGCCTCAGATCTTCAGATCGAAGGGGCCAAATCTCACTACCATAGAGCAGAACGGCCTTTCAGACGGAGGGAAATTCCATTCTGTCGCCAAATATACCACAGGTTCAAGAGGGCAGTTCTGCCCTTCGTAATGCGTGAACTGACGTCAGTTTCTATGCGCCCATCATTGCTGATGCAGCTGCCAAGATAAGTGAATTGATCAACCACCTCGAGCTCCTCGTGAGCAAGGGCCTGGAAGTCCTAAAGTGGCTGGTGTCCCTGCAACAACGCTTTACATTTTGAAGTTGCGAAGTGCATACCAAATAATGGGACCACTCTAGACAGGCTGTTCAGGGTTGATTGTGCTGCAGCAACATCGTTGAAAAGCAAGACGATATCGTCCGCATAGTCTAAATCAACGAATCTTTCACCAGACAGCACTTCAACGCCTACATCGTGAGATGCCGTAAGGGAACACCCCTTAATAAAATCCACGACGAAATTGAACAGAAATGGGGAAGTCAGACAACCCTGACGAACGCCACTTGTGGTAGGAAAGCTATCCGATAGGTCACCATAGACCCTGACGCGGCTTGTAGTGTTCGAGTATAAAGCACGTAGGATGTTTACATATTTCGTGGGAACACCTTTCCGCGCAACTATTTCGAACGGAATCGATCGATCGACTGAATCGAACGCACTCTTGAAATCTAGGAACACAGCTATCGTCGGTTTGCTCTATGCGTGGCGCTGTTCTAGCACTTACACCAAAGTGAGTATATGGTCTATACATCCACGTCCTAAACGAAAACCGGCCTTCTGTTCCCTAATCCGAGATTCCCGTTCCGCAGTGAGGCGACGAACGATAATCCAGGCAAATAATTTTGTTACAACTGGCGTTAGACTAATACTCTTGTAGTTGGAACAGTCTGTACGGCTGTCCTTGTATATTGCCACTATAATCGATTCGCTCCAATTAGCCGGGACACTCTTCCTTCCAGATTTGTTCGAATAGGGCGGTCAGCGCTTTGCAGAGGACCTCGCCTCCATCCTTAAATAGTGCAGTTGGGAGGGAATCTGGGCCAGCGGCACGAAAACGATTGAGGGCTGTGACCGCATTGCGGACTTCGGTCTCCGACAGAGGCTCTAGACTAACCGTCCATGGCTCTTTCTGCGCTGTGTTTCTGCTGACGGCACTGTCAACAAAAAAATTTCTCTTCGCATCGCTAAAGCTCGATCAGCATTTGTCAATCTGAGGCGTTTGTGGCGTCGTCGCAATGTCTCATTCTCGCTTAAGGGCCGCGTTTCCAGCGCACCAGTTCGCTCTGTATTGTTGTAAGGGTGCGAGTCCTGGCGGATTCGCGTAGAAGATATGCATCGTCTTTCTACCTTCGATAACGGTTGCTTACGGTGGGTTGCTTGTGTTTGGTGGCAACATCCAGTTAATAGTGTTGACGTTCGACGTCGCATTTTGGAGAATGTGAGTATTCCCTTCAACAAACTGGTTTTGTTGTGCCAGTGGAGATAGCTCGGTCACGTCCTACGCATGGCACGTGAGCGCCTACCGCATCGCGCACTATCCGCTCATCAAGGACCTGGATGGAAGCGACCGCGTGGTGGTCAGGCTTCCACTTGGCGGCACCACATGAAATCGCTGACGTCGTGTCTAGCCGCTGTTGGATACGTACGTCTTCCAGGATGGGGACCCAAAGATGAGGAGTGCCAATGGCTTAGGACTCTTGAAGACATGGCCCGCAACCGGAATCAATGGAAGAATTGTGTACAGAATTGTATTGTTTCACATGTTTAATACTACAAACATTGAAATTGACAAAAGAGAAAAATCGGCCTGTGGAAAAACAAACTGAAAATGTTTTGTTCTACTTTTTGTCAAAATGTTCCATTCTTCCTGCGGCATATTAACTGAAGTGTGTTGCTCACCTTCAACTACCATGCCACGATGATTATGACGCGGTGACGGTCTCTTATCCGCTGATCTCCATGGTTTTATGTTGGCTCTGTGTCTAGTTGATAGACTGTTGGGTTTACTACTATTACTACGACCACGACGACGACGACGGAGTACTACCTGAGTAGGAAGAGGTCTGGGAGCAGGTGGCCAGCAGAACTGATCTTGAAAGTGTTCCGCCCAACGTGCCATACGGCGCTCTTTATTGTGTATCAGTGTACCCGCGCTGTCTCTGGTTGTCTCACGGATGCCTGGTTTTCTGGGACTAATGTTGCGGATTAGCTAGAAGAGCTTGCGTTAATTGCATACTGCTCCTGCCTCCTCCATTTCTTGAGCTCGATTGGTTCACCAGGCTTTCTTGTCAGCACATAGGCTCTGCATTAGTTCGCGCCTAATAGCCCGTCTGCTCACGTTGTGTTCAGTGCCAGCTGGGAGGTTTCTTCTAGATTTCAACAGGTCCACCGACCTCTCAGATATATAGTGACTGGTGCGGTGACGATTGATAGTACCACAAGCACATACTCCTGCATCGTGTATGGCGGCTGAGAACCGATTCCACTGAAGCTGTGTCAATAGGGGAAGACAGCGAAGTTCGGTATGCAGTGCATCTTGATAGGCTTGCCTGACCGAGGGCTGAGACAATTTCTCAGTTGCCAATCGTAGGGGACGCTTGGTGCACCTCCCGGTAAAGTTCATGGAGAAACGACAGCCTACCAAGACATGATCAGAGTCGACGCAGGTACTCCAGTACGAACTGCAATCCAGGATGGAACCACGCCACCTGTAACTTATGGCAATGTGGTCAATTTGGGTCTATCGCTAGCCAGCTACAGGAGGACGCCAAGTGGCACTTCGTTGCCCACTGTGTCTAAAAGCAGTGCTACTAAGAAACAACTGGTGCTCCGCACACAGTTGCAGCAGACGCTCGCCGTTGTCAGTCCGTTCGGAGTTAAGCCCATAATAACCACCTAGCTGAGCTTCTGAAGAGCTCAGACGCCCTACTTGTGCGTTCATCTCCCCTGCAAGTACTATGAATTAGTAGCACTTCGTAGTTGCGCGTTCAGTTCGTGATAGAATGTGTCCTTGACAGCATTAGAACTGCAGTCATTGGGAGCATAGACGGAAATCACAAACAAACAGCGTTTTGTTTTACTTCGCGAATTCACCTTAGCTGATGTCGTCAAACGGGTGCACATAAATGGCTGTTCTCCGGAATCCAGTACTGAGTACTGGCCACCGGATCAATCCTGATAAATCATCAACATTTTATTACGCGACCAGTGGCCCCACCTTTGCAGGTCGCTAGAATACAGCCTCATCGATCGAGTACGTCCGGCGCTGTGCTGTTCAAAATAACTGGGTGTGGCTCTAAACCTGCTTTGATAGCGCACAGCGTTTGACTATCAACCGATCGCATATGACCTTGTTATGCTGCATCTATCATTGCTGCATATTTGTGATCGATTAGAACACCAGAAATGATCGAATCATCTCACGTCTCTTTATTTTCCTATTTATATTTATAAAAATAATTTCTTGGAGCAATTCTGATGAATTAACTCTCTGCTTCCCGTTCAGGTTCGTCAAAACAAAGAATCCGGTCTACTATCCAAGGCACTAGGCTACATGTTCGGTTGGTCTTGATCCACAAATGTCAACGATACTTCGGATCAAAATAACTGCAGATTCACTACTTTTGCTCTCTGTATATGTTCGTTGAAATAGATGTATTCTATGGGTGAAGTATTCTACGGCTTCTTTTGGCTTCTTTTACCTGGGGGATCGCTACTTTGCTGCTCACCGTATGCCACTATGTGGAGCTGAATCTTTTCAGTTAACCTGGTTTCCTGGGTTCGCTTAGTCCCTTGACCACCATGGCAGTTTCTCCTTTGGTTTACGTTCGTTGCTAAGGTTCGCCGCACAGATGGGATGCTTTGCGCTTCCTCATTTACCCGACACCGTCAATCACTGCTTTCCTTACTTTAGACGAATCAGTCTAAACCATCAGCTATTCATCAACGTTTTGACAACCAACGCTTTTGGTTGACCTTGGTCCACTGTATGCTGGTGTGTCGCGCGGACGCGGTAAGGCTGATTAGATTGCGAACCGCAGGAGCTACGGGGAAGCTGTTCCACAAATTCCACCCTGTCGTTCCACAGAGACTAGCTGTGTTGAATGCGTTTTCAGCATTTCCTTCATCCCATTCATTGTCCCTCATTAGTATATTCGTAACAACTGATCTAGATGTTCAAAGCAGTGGATCACCGTTGCAACCTAAAACCTTTGAACCAAACGGCGAAGTCGACAGTTCCTTTAGACTGTCCAGGATCACTGGTCTGTACCCATTGATGTACCCTTCCTGGGCATAATCGCTTGTTAACCCGAGCGAATAACCACATGTTTATTTAAAGCTGTTCCCTTTTGAAAGGCCCAGAAAGAAGACGAAGACCAGTAGATGTATGCATTTCGTATTGACTCCTCAGTACAGTTGACGATAACCGATATACATAGATATGTATAACAGAGGGTTCAACCAGACATGTTTAAGGTGCAGTACGAATGACGGAAGTTCCACCCATATGTCCATGGCAGTTTTAAGCTCACGAACACGCAGAGTTAGCTCCATCCGGCTTATAGCGACAGCGTCAGCAAACGATGAGCTAGTGTTAATTACAGCAACACTAATGGCGAACGTCTACTCACGAAACTTTATCGATAAATGCACCCAGCCGCGAGGGAAAAAGGACTTCGTGCATACGGCAACCAAGAAAAAAGTGTATATAGAGGTACCGTTCAAATGTGATTTAGCCACGCTGAAGGCAATTAAGCGTATACTTTCGGCTACACGAGTAAGTTGTTGTCATCAACCCAACCCGAAATTTGCCCATACCTCCAGCGAAGGAAGCTCAGCTTATTAGGGTCAACTCACGTAGTATATACCAGTTTGTGTGTGACTGCGGAAGCGGTTGCATAGGCAGTACTAACGGGACTCTGATTTCCCAAATAAATGCGCATGTGCCAAGATGTGTTCCGCGTGGAGTTACCCAGATTTTCTACCCCCGTCAGATTCCGTGCTTGAGTAGACCGTCGGCTTTCTTGATAGGCAAGCACCTTTTAGACTCGGGTCAGTGGATAGATCTAGGCTCATTGTGCAATGTTGTGTTACGTCACACTAATCGTCGCTTCCTTCGGTTTGCTGAGGTTGTCGCTATAAGCCGGATGAAGCCTGTGCGTTCAGAAACAATTATTTATCAGCTTAAAGCTGCTTTGGACGTAATTTTGAACTTCCATCATTCGTTCTGCACCTCAAGCTTGTCTGGTTTTACCCAGTGTTGGCTATATCTATGCATATCGCTTATTGTTACTGGTACTGAGGAGACAATGCGAAATGTATGCACCTACCAGCTTTCGTTTTCTTTCTGTGCTTTTCTGCCTTCGCTACTGATGAGTAGTGTAATGTTTAGTGTATTTTTAGGAATTCTACCGACTTTACGTGGGACGCATCCCCGCGTAGGTGTGATTTCAGCACCAGTCGGCGGTCGAAGGTAGCAGCAATACGTCAGAAATGCTGATGCTCTGCGACCGACGGGTTGATTTACACTTTCAAATACCTTGTTCTCGCACCAGGGAATTTCCCAGAAAATCCCATTTGATTTTCACATATGGAGTTCTAAAGAATTGCACATAGGTTTTGGAATATTCCTTGTGCCTGCGGATTGTGATAGACTGTTTCCCTCTGATCCATCACTCATTTTGATATTGATCTCCGTCGTCTCAATCGCTGTAGTTATATCAGGAGAACTCAATCAATTAACGTGTAAATTGCGCGTTAAGTGGTTTTGTGTCAGGTGCCTCTGCTGGCAATCTTACGGCTTCTTGTTCAGACTCCTGTTATCCCTCCCTGGCATTTCTAATCAGGGACCAGCTCAGACTTGGGGCGCCGCACTGTGAGCAAGTGATACTCGACTTTGTCTACATGTCGAACAACTTTTAGGAAGGAGGGCGTTCACTTGTCAAATTGGACATTTATCCAGCTGTCGATCTGCATTTGTGCTAGTGTAACCCAACCCGTCCAGTCGAATCGCTAACTATTCACTCTGTGCAACCTCAAGTGCACTTAATTCGTAACATCTTTGTTCGCATTTGCGTTGGCTTGGATATAGGAACCTACGGTGTCTCCGACTGAAAACCTTTTCAAGCATTCTTTTAACGCCCATGCTGCCATCAATATCTGTGTTTTCTTTCTGTTTCTTCGATCACTGGAACATGCGTCTCCATCCCACTAAATGTCGAACAGCACATTATACAACTGTTATACTGTGTCGTTATCCCATGCTTATGAATCGAATGGGTAGAGACTTGGTGTGAGCGCCCTTTTACACTGCATGTCAACTACAACAGGGGTGTCCAAAGTCTGACCCGCGGGCCAAATGCGGCCCGCGTAAACATTTTAAATGGCCCGTGGCCTCATCATCAGCTAATAAATTCAGGCTTGGACTTTTTCGTACATGTGTAATTTTTGATGTTATCTTACTGTCAGACTGTATATGGCTTGATGTATTTTTACCCCACAAAATGTGGCCCTGCCTGCAAAAAATTTGGATGCTCCTGAACACGAAATTGAGCTAATAGCAACTGAAGGTAACGGTGCTTGACAACCGCTCTTCATCTCGGTTCCGGCTATGCCTGTGTCTACGCATCCTTCATTCCCCGAATCTCACTCCACATTATCCGTTTCCATGAGTCATTTTCTATCTCTTAGCTTGTAAGATTGCTTTTCCGGGACATCAACTGGGCCCTCGGGATAGCTACTGTGATAACTGATTCCTTCGGTAACCACTAACGAGCGGAAATCAATGGGTCTCGTTATCTGGCCTAATAAAATTACCATGGGGAAATTTTCTATCCTCTTCACACTCATGCCCGTCGACGACAGGTGTCTCTTGTTCTCGTCTGAACCAGCGAAATTTCTGCAGCCATGTGAACACAGTTGTCGTGGCATCTACCACTGCTGCAATGGTCACCTCACCTGGTCCATTCATACGTTATGATTACCCCCTATTTGGATCACATGTCACTCTAGTGGGTGACTTGGTCCTTCCAGCTACCGGAAATGGCAGAAGCCAATGCGTTTCTGGTGCTGTTCCCTCCCAGCTATTGCCTAAACCATGATGAAACCGACGGGATAGTGCAATATTTGAAGCAAGTAACTCGAGAAATGTCTCGATCCCGCTGGGCCCCTCGGTTTATGAATAGTAGCACTTAGTGACTGCCTTTGCGTCAATGTTTGGTCTAAAGACAACCGGAAGCAATCGAGTCTTACCTACCCTTCTCACGGAGTGCGCCTAGGAGCAAATAAAGCATCAGCAGTGCGTCGCTTCGTTGCAGCGCGACCGACACGGATGCTGCGAGCCCACCAGATTCGCACTGGCGACCTTTGGAGCACAAAGCAGGCGTCTTGTTCCCTCGGTCACCAACCGACCCGGTGCTGCTTGGGGGGCAGCCGATCAATGCACCAGTGTAGGCAAATTCTTCTCTTACGAAATTGTCCCAACTCCATAGCTATGCAATTAGTTTCAAAGAATAACCGATCCGCATCTAGCCTGCCGATAACTGAAGCTGAAACAGTTCCCTATTTGTTCCTTTGTGTATCGTACTTGAACTCTTTGCCTAGGATTCTTTGACTATGATGTGCAACTTGGTAGGATTGTGCATGATCTTGGTCCACTAGCGGCGGGGCACTTAAATCGGCCATTGCCTTTCCATTGGACATTATTTTTACTTTATCTACTATGGATATAATACATTTTATTGGAATAATTTGATAGCTTTTTGTTCAAAATACTTCCAAAGTCAACAAGACCGAAATTTGTAATGCTAAGCCCAGATACCGCGCATTATTCGCGGTCTGTTGGTTCCGGCCACGAACTTTTAGACCAGTTCAAACCAAGTAAGAAGAATTGTCCTCAAAAAAACTATTCTCTGTCGGCTGGAAAGAACATGAGGATTCTGTTTATCAATATACGCTCAGTACTCAATAACGCCAATGTGTCCTTTTCGGTATCCATTCATAAAATTTTGCATTTGTAACGACATCATTTTACTTAGCTCGCAGTTGCTACTGTTAGTTACTGAAAATGCGCCCATCTAGGTACCTAAAGCTTAACTTGACTTGATTATGAATGCACACCGCAACCTCTTCATTGTTATGGTCACCACGTGCAGTGAATCTTTATGGGTAAGCTTGTTTAACCAAATATTTCATGTAGCTGATCGGTGATGTGAAATTGTGTGTCTTTGTTGGATGAGCAATACAGTCATGCTTGTGTAACGGATTCTAACCGCAGACTTTCGTTTTCCCCTGCTGTTGGTTCACTGATATTTGTCTTAACGTATCATTTCGCTATACCGTTTTGGGAATTGGAGTCGTCATTTTTGTCTTTAGATCACAGCTCTACTCTGACACTAACACTCACTTTCCGTTCTTTGTGTGCACCTGATTGGTTTCTTATTTGTTCAGTCTTTATTGGCTTTACTTGTCCGCACGCTTTTCGTACTCTGGTTGGCTTTCACGCTTGTGCATCATCATCATAATTATACACGATAGCTAGAGGTGGGAAACACCTCAGCTACTGTGCCGCAATACATAAAAGAAAAAAATAGAAGAAAATGAAACTGGTGCAAGTCAGCTGACCTACCGGTAACGGATGGGCATCGTTCCGGTAAGCTACCAGCCGGCTGC